AAACCTTTCTTCAGCCAACACCTCCCCAGGCCTGTTTACTTCCATGGCCTCTCTCGCCTATCTTTTTCCATCTTCATCTAACCTCCTCAAAATAAAGAAATGTGTTTCAAATATTATTTTTATGACTATCATTATTCGCCATAGTGCTCACATTACAATATTATTCCTCTTCTTCCCTGAGAAATCCCGTCTCTGTAATCGTTCAAACCCCACTGTAACGATTATTTCCTTAGGTGCGCGTCCCTAAGTTCTTTCACCCTCGGTTATCAAGGCTTTCATGTGCTTCCTCTTCATCCTTTACATTCATCTGCTGCAGCTTGATCTTACTGTCAGTGCAGTTAGTCCTGAAATAGGATGTGCAGTGCAACTGTTTGCCTATCAATTTATCTTTCAAATGACTTTTATTTTTATTTTGGAGAAACAATACATGGAAAAAACTTGGTAACTGTGACTATTGTTTGTGAGGTTGACTAGAGCCAATCATCATAAAGTGATCTTTATCTTCCCAACTGTCCTGTGGAGACAGGATGAAAAAGATCAAATGTACAGCCCCTGCCTGATCCAACCTCAGTGTCAGGCTTTTCTCATCAGTGCTTTTTCCAAGTACAGAGGAGATTATCACTGTGAATGTTCAACCAAATATATTAGTGTGTATGAGAATGAAGTAAAAGTCTTCTCACCTGAAAGAAATTTTATAGAACACTATATCCTAGACATTATAGCCAGTTTTCAAATGATTATTTGCCCAAAGATACAAGAGTTTTTCAAAGGTTAATTTGGGAAGCTCATGTTTATATAGAATTGTAGTAAATGAGATTACCCACAAATTAAATTTTCAGAAACTCAAAGTCTTTCTCATTTTAAGCCAAAATTACCACTTCAAACATTTTAAGGATTTTGGATAAAAATAACTCTAAAAAACAATGTATGCTTCTCTACCTTCTTAAACAGAACATATAGGATATTTTTTCTTAGCATAATGACTCAGTCATCTTTTTGACTATTAATGACTCTTTAAGTCTGTAATAAAATGTTTTTAAGTTACTGAGCATTATTAGTGTTGTTTCTCCTTGATACAAAATGATCTAGATTGCTATTATTTTTTGTATATTTGCTTCTCTCTATAGATAGATAGATAGATAGATGATAGATGATAGATGATATAGATGATATAGATATAGATATAGATATAGATATAGATATAGATATAGATATAGATATAGATATAGATATAGATATAGATGATATAGATATATGGTGTTTTTGCAGCTATCATTTATTGCTACCTTCACTAGACCTCCTGCTATTAGTTTCCCCATTTCCACATTTCAAGTGTGTTTTGACCTGATGTTGGTTAATAGACCAA